TTGGGTTTAGGGTTTAGGGCCCAAGCCCGAAATCCGAAATCCTAGAACAGCACAAGGCTTCACGCTCCATCGCGCCGGTCATGAAAAGTCATACAAGACGTCTCATTTCAGCCAAGCAGTAGAACCCCACAGTCCCACATCCTAAACCCTTAAACCCCAGACCCTCAACCCCTAAGACCCTGACCCGTTTAAAAAGCCTCTGAGGAGACGAAGAGCACCACCGGGAGCAGGCAGCCCGATCCAACTTCACGTCTTATTAATAAGGTTTCAAAACTTCAAATTGTAGGGTTTAGGGTAGGGTTATGGGTTATTTGTGGTTTGGGGTGTAGGGTTTCTTTGCATTTAATGGTTTAGGGTTTTTGTTACCTTGATTTGAGGGTTTAGGGTTTAGGGTTTCTTGGTCTAAGTGCTCCAACACCCAACCTTCAAATTGTTGGGTTCTTGTAATGTATGTAGTCCTATCCTGTTCTGAAGCTGTTATAAAGAACGTCTGATCCTTTATAGGACTTACGTAAGCAAGTTTTCAACGGCCCTATGCTTCAGGAATAGACAGATCAGCTTCCTTCCCCTGAAGGGACTATGACTAGGGCGCAGAACCCGGTGCGTTTTCCTCACAACGGTTACCCTGCTCCATTTACTTCGAGTATGGGAGACTTTGCACGACAAGCCGGGTCAACAGTCGGTCTCGGGTTTCGGAGTTGGGGAATTAGGGTTTACGAAAATATTCTTCCCGGTGATCCACTATCCCGGCCGCCAGGCGAATCGCAAGAGGGGGTCACCGGGACAAATGATTCTTATTTAGGGCTTACGAGTTGGGGTTTAGGGTTTAGGGTAGAGTGTTGGGGTTGGGCTTGTAACCTCTGGAGGGTTTTGCAATATAGATGTATGTTAGTGTGACTCACGATCAGAATCAAGACTCCTTTCATCGCGAACCCAACATGAATTCCGAAGCTGGAGGAAGCTTCTCTTGGATTTCACGTCGAAGCTTGTTCTAGGGGATCCTAGCAGCTGAGCTCTAGTTGGCATCGAATCCGGTTTTGTGATTTACACCTCCAGCTACAGAGCTGTAACCTTGGAACCGTTCACGACTGGCTCACCTTCTACATTACATTGCCAGCATCGGCCACTCTCACTCGACGGCTCTTGGTTCATGCCTGTACATGGCTGACCTTCAAGATGCAAGTTTCGCATCACTTCGATATATCTTCTTGTTATGGTAAGATATTTCAGAAATGTCGATATACAATACACACATTATCGCATGACGTTTTGCCACCCCGAAAGCGCTATATCTGTCAGGTGCGTGCTCTAAAACGAGGACAGCAGCAAGGTCCAGCGGACCAGGACAACGTGGGGGCTTGTTAAAGTAAGTGCATTTTCTATACCTGAGTATGGTATTTCATCTTTCAACAGCTTTTTCGAAGAGAAGAAGCCATGAACCCCTAAACCCTAAACCCTAGAAAGGGATCACAGAGGGTTGCCAGCAATTCTTCGGCTCATGAGATGGGGTCCTTGCATTTCTTTCTCTTCTCTATCCCTATTGAGAGGAGAGCCGAATGCCTGAGGTGAACTTAGGAAACTTGAAATTGGGAAGAAGGTGTAGGGTTCAGGGTTTCAGAAATTTCAGGGTTTAGGGTTTAGGGAATTCCTTCTGCAAGACGCCAGGAAGGCGTTGTAGACGACTGTTCAAGGCGATTCAGCCTTGTACTTCTATCCTTATCGCCCGTTGTCCTGCCTGACTCCGGTACTGGTGTAAAGCCGACATGCATGCCAATCCTTGCTTGTAGCTTCGCGGAGACAACTACAATCGTGACACTTTCAATAGTGCTGGACCTTGCTGTGTGGTTTTCGATGACGCGTGCTATTGCAGCGTGAATATCATGCGAGACCGCGATGCTTAGAACTCTAATGGTCGTCTTCGCCGTTGCTGTATATTCGTTGTCGTCGTCGTCGCCGTGCTAGCACTGTAGCTGGCACTGGTACCAGCAGCATCCACAACTGTGGTTTGCGGCCTCCAGGACTTCGAGGCAACGCGGAAGAAGCTTTGCAGCCGGCCCGGGCTCTTAGACGAGAGCCGTTGTTCAGCTTAGGGCTAAGGGCAGCTAAGGGCATATGGTTTCGAGGCCCGTGGTTTGGATGCGGCACTATGGGCATTGGCTGAAAGGTGTCACCCGTTTTAGATTTAGTGCCGAAGCTTGGGTGTTTGGATGTCCGCCTTCGGTGAGTTTGTGACTCTCAGGCTTTGAGAAGTTTCGGGTCTAGGACTACTTGATGTCTAGCTTCTTATCTTCACTAGCTTCAGGCTTAAGCGTTTGGAGAATCATGGCTGTTGGCATCGCAAAGGAGACCGTCTTGAAGGCTTTGACGGTGTTTCACGAATGTTGGGGACTTCTTGTTGGCGTAGGCTTGCTGTGGCACTTGCGGCTCAGGTGCTGTGCTGCCATCTGGAGATGCATCAGGAGCTGTCAGAGGGTCTGCAAGTTTATCATCATCATTATCTTCATCATCATCATCATTGTCGCATATTGTCGCCATGCCTGTTGTTGTATTTAGTATCATTGTCCTTGCTTCTGGAATTATAAGCTGCATTTTGCTGTTGACGGTTGTGACATCGCTATCTTCGTACATGGTGTGCTCCGCTGTACTTCTGCACGTGCGCCCTGGGTTCAGTTCTTCCGGCTTCCGCTTTGGGTGTGAGAGATGGATTTCTCTCCCTGGCAGCACTCAGTTTGCACAGAGGGCATACCGATGTTTGAAGCTCTTGGTGCCATGCTGCTAGTCACGACTTTAGACGAGAGTCTTCCCAAGAGCGCGGGGCTGCAGCTAGTCCTTCAAGTAATTAGGCATGAGCAATCCTCGGCTGGTTCTCTGTGCGGTCCGCTGTGGTATCGGGAGTCGGTAGAAGTGGTCGTGGCCGTCGACATCATCATGTTGGTCGTCGCGACGTTGTTTTTCTTTTCTGGGATGTTTTGGTGCCTTTAAGCTCAAGTGGTGAAGTTTACAGGGTCTCAGGTACAGCAGGCAGTTTTGAAACGCCAGGTAGGGATAGTGGCAGCTGTAGTTTGCTGATTTATCAGATGACAGGGGCTTTTAACATTGGATGTTGGGTTAGGTCAATTTCCTAGAGTTTACGCTATGTCCAAGCCAAGCTTCAACATGGCTGTGTTCCACATCAAGCACACACAATCTAAATGTGTTGATAGTACGGTTAGACAAAATCCCAAATCCTCAGCCATAAAACACGAAGCCAGTAACAAGACTCCAGTTGAACAAACCTAAACATTCTAAAGCCTACAAAGTTAAACACAGCAAACTCTCATCCTTCAAACCCTAGAACCCTGAACTCTACCCCAAACCCTAAACCCATAGAAGCCCTCAATCCTAAGCCCTAAACTAAACCAACGCAGCCCTAATCCTTACAGTTCCTAAGCCCTCAGCCCTGCAGTCCCCCAAAATCCTGAAAAGCCTTATCCCGAAACCTTCAACCCTCTGCTCGAATATAGGGGCCTTAATGATTACCTATGCTGTTTGTTTGGGGGGGGGGCCTTATTATAGTTATAGTATAAGTATAACATACCCCAAAACCCTATTCTAAATCCTTATTATAGTTACAGTATTAATACCCCCAAACCTTATCCTGATTATTCAGGCCCCTACAGTACACCCTAAACTCTAGCATCCGCAAACCCCCAATTGGAACCCAAGACCAAGCCTATGGAAAGCCTTATGGGGCCCCTTCATGGTTTAGGGTTTATAGGGTTTAGGAGTTTAGGGTTTAGGGTGCAGGGTTTCGGGCCCCGATGTACTTTCAACCCTTTCCAGACCCGCTTTGCCATCTCCTTGTAGAAGCACAACCCCTTGAACCCTTCGAAGAGCGCTAGATTACTAAACCGTATAGACCCTAAACAATTTTCTGTATGCCCGGTAAACCCTGAACGTCAACCCCAAAACCCCCCAAGCAAACCCGAAACCCCCTTAAGGGTTCCTTTACGTCAACCCCAAAAGCCCTAAGCAAACCCGAACCCCCCTATAAGCGTTCTGTTGGAGTGTTTGTCATGTCCGATG